GTGGTTGATTGTGTAGAATTAATTTTCGCCCTACATTGTGGGGCGTCTCTTGCTCAACCATTATCAATTTTGGTTGACTCGAATTTCAACAACGCCGCAGTTTTGAGCGGTGAACATATTCCACTTTCAACCAATCACAGACAGGCATTGTTTATCTCGTCTGTGCTCGCCAGCCAATGACGTTGCAGCTGATGCATGATCAGTTAGCGACCTAGGAATTCTCCAGGGTCGCGCTGTTCAGTTTCGCTGAAAACAACTTGGTTACGCCAGTTTTTAGACTGGCGCCCTCTATGTGGCTGACGATTATGTAGGCTATTCGTCGATAAAGGAATATTCCGGGTGTGTTATTGTTATAACAGACAACATTAATCGAGGGATATTCCTGGTGTGCTATTTTTAGCGGACTCGTATTCGTACTTGTGTGCTATTTTTAGCAGACTATATGTTTAACCAGTAGTTGTATTCTAGTGTTTTATTTCTTTATTATTTCCATTTTATTTTATTATCATAATAAGAGGAGGAGGAGATATGGTATTCTTTCTTGCTCTATCTGCGTACCTATTGTTTTTATGTACCGTACATTCTACTGGTGTTCTGTCTTCATTCTATTATGGTCTTGTATGTTCTTGATTCTTGATTTGTGTAATAAAATGTGGTTTTTCGAGTCATGTGTCATTTAATTTATATCAATTGGTCTTGTATGTCTAGATTCTTTTCTCCTTTATTATTATGCCCATAGATATTATCCACATCATTGTCATCATAGTCATTATCATTGAACATATAATTATTTTTGTTCTTACTTTAATCAGGAGCATCATTGCCATATGATTTTTATTGACATTTTTATGGTACCATTATTCTCAACATTATTAATATTATTACGATTGGTATTACTATTATTGTTATTATTATTGTTGTTATTATTATTATTATTATTATTATTATTATTATTATTATTATTTTATTATTATCATCATTATCACTCCATAACACCATTATTCTCAACCTGATTTTCTGAGATGCGTTGCGTTTATTTTTCGGTAACTGTATTTCTACCATCGGGATCGACGTACTCTTCGCGTAACGCTGTACGGGCACCAACCCGAAGTACCATCCATTTGCGTGTGCGTTGGGACGTTGATCGTGGTTGCAGGAGTAGCGCAAACAACCAGTCGATGTTTCTTTTTTCTTACAGTTATGGCAACAGCAGAGAGGGAAGAACTGCAGCGGCCAGTGCGACTAAATTTTGCTACCAGGGAACGCCATTTCGGAGGGCAATTCCCAGGGCCTGCGGTGCAGGACATTTTAGAGTATAGGGAGGAATATGGGAACATTACTGACCCAGCCACGAGAGGAAGGAATTAGATAAGATGCTTCATGGTGGTATTATTCAGCCCTCTAATTCTGAGTGGGCGTCTGCACCTGTTCTAGTGCGCAAACGCGATGGCAATGTCCGTTTTTGCATTGACTATCGCGCTCTGAATAACGTTACTGTTAAAGACGTGTATCCCCTACCCATACTAGAAGATTGCCTGGACACGTTAACTGGTAACCAATGGTTTTCGAAACTCGATGCAATATCTGGGTATTGGCAAGTCAATTTACATCCTGACGACCGGAAAAAGACCGCTTTTGTGACTAAGTACGGTCTATTCGAGTTTGTTAAAATGCCATTTGGTTTATGTAATAGCCCAGCAACCTTCTCACGGGTGATTAACATGGTTCTGCGGGGCCTTAATTGGCAAACAGCCCTTGCGTTCCTAGACGATGTAGTGATCCTAGGGAAGTCGTTTGAGGATCATCGCAAGAACCTTGAGGAGGCCTTAGAGCGTTTCCGCCAGTTTAACCTGAAACTTAAGCCTGCCAAGTGCGTATTCTTCCAAAAGAAAATTGAATTTTTGGGTAGAATCGTGTCTTGTAATACTGTGGAGATGTCAGATACTGACGTCAGCGCTATTAATAAT